AGGAGGAAGGGAGGAAGGAAAGAAGGGAGTGAGAGAGAAAGCGAAGGAGGGAGAGGGGAGGAGGGATGTAGTAGACTCAGGAGAGTAAAGACTCCCTTTACATTTTCTGCTTTTGTAGCTCAGTTTCTGGAAAAGCTGTGCACACGTTATTGTGGCTGTGTCCTCTCCTCTCATTTGTTTTGTTACCTACTTTCGTGGTTTTCCTGCGACACCAGTGACTTTTATCTGTCCAAATCTAAAGTTACAGTTCCTGTCCTCACTGTCTTCTCTTGCTCTGCAGCATTTTACACAAATTCCTGCATCTTCCTTCTAAAATTAAGGTTTTTTATAACTTTATCATCATACTTTGTTTTTACCCTCTCCTGTCACTTCTTTTCTACAAAATATGTTTTTTTTTCCTACTGCACTAGAAATTGTAAAAAGTCCTAAGGGTCATTGCTACCTTTTTATTATTATGTTTATAATGTTTTGATATATGTATTTAAAATAGTGTTCATCTTCAACCCAGAACTTTCTCTTCAGCTCCATATTCTCATACAATATTTGGATATGTTCTGGAGATACAATTCTAAAGGGATTTCCCCACATATGTATCTGCATGTACTCTAACGCTGCTTATTAAAAACAAAAGATACAGCAATCTACAGAGCTCTCTGCCTTAATCCAAGCATTATTTGTAATCTCTTGCTTGTCTTCAGCTCCCACATCCAAATCTAAGCTCTATCAACCTAACTCTAAAGAATGCCTGTAATCTATGCACTGCTAGTCATTTCTGTTATCATTTTAGCACACAATGCTGTTACTCCTGCTTAAACTACTTCAAAATATTTCCCTTGCTTCTTTGTAGCATAACCAATGTCATCACCACTACAATAAAACAATTTCTATTTGTTCCCTGCTTCAGAAAATTTCAGGAACTTTTGAATAAAGTGTCCTATAAGGACTCCAAATGGAGTCTGACTCTTGCTTACCTTTCTGAGTACAACTTGTGGAACTTTTCCTTTACTTGTGCTTTTCCTGGAGAGAGTAGATGCCTCTTGTTCCTTGAATAGGTCTTGCTCTTTGCAACCTCAGGTCCATTACTCTTATAGAACTAATGTCATTTGACTTTGTTTTCCTTCATACCTTTATATACCTTATTGCTTCATATTACCTCTCAAGAGTGGCTTTTGTTGACCAACTGGTGTGAATATTTTCACTCTATATTTTCTTTCAACTCCATCATTCTATTTTTATTTAATTCTTTTCAGTGGCATTTAATACTATCGAAGACTTAATCTTTTGTTTGTTTTTCTAATGTCTGTCTAATTGACAATATCACGCTTAGTCTCCCACTGAAAATAATTGTCAGAATTGCCACAACTTGGATCATCTTCACATCTAAACCCTTAAGCCTAGTACAATACCAAGAGCACAGTGGATATCTGAAAACACTGAATATGCAAGTTTGAGTGTGAGTTTAAATACTTATTTGTTATGGGACAATCATTCAATATTTGTTTAACAAACAAATCACTGAGATTGAGACTAAAATATATTTATGGAGCATGCTTTTTAATTTTCCAGAACTGATGACTTCTTCAAACAATATCATAGTGATTTTTAGGTCTTAGGTCTAGTTAAAAGAAATGCTATGCTTTCCAGTGTTGAATTAAATCTTATAGACTGCAATTTATGGTTAACTGTTTTCATATATATTACAATTTGAAAAGGAGAGCTGAAAAAATGTTTAATAAAATACTCTTTTCTAGTGATCATTGTTACATATTTCTTTTTCTTTCTTTCTACCCCCTTTCTTCCTTCCTTCCTTCCTCTTTCTTTCTTTCTTTCATTCTTTTTTTTTCTTTCTTTACAGATAGAGCCTCACTATTTAGCTCAGGCTGGCCTTGAACTCACTCTGTAGCCCAGGCTGACCTCAAACTCCTGATGATCTTCCTGCCTCACAAGAGCATGTACCACCACATCTGACTTATTTGTAGATTTCTATATTTAAAATTCCCCAAGATTTAGAAATAAAACACACATTCCTACATTTTTTCATGTATTCTTTTTTTATTGGTACAACTTATATGAAGTTTGTACCTGTACATGGTATATCTTGGTTCTTCTTTCTTACCCATTCTCTCCCCTTCCTTCAAACCCATTTCCCTTCCTTGTTTATAAAAACATTGCTTCCATTTTTCTTCTCTTCGCTTTTTCTCTTATCCCTTCCTTCCTTTTCCCTCTCACCTCCCCGTTACCCTTCTCATTTGAACATTTTATTCCATTTTAGCAACACCTCCTGGCATATGTTTTGGAAATAGTGACAATATGTGAAAGGATTAGGACCCGGTATGGATGATACTAGAGATAACAGATTGCAATATTAAATAAGGAAGCTAATATTTGACTCTTAACAATGTGTCTAATACATCTTTAACTCTCAGTAAATGTTAGGAATAAGAGCAAAGAATAAAATAACAATGGCAATGTGTATATGTAAACTCGTTCTCATATAGGGAACTATTTGAAGTAAAACCCTCTTGTCTAGGATCCGTGTGCCTTTTGGTTCAATAACGAAGTAAATTCTCTGACTGGAGAACATTAATAGTTCTTTTAATAATTATTTATTTCACACAATTTGTTGCACTGTAAATAGGATGTAGGGGAGTCTCAAAATTAATCTTGACTAAGATCCAAGGAAAGAATGAAAGACTCTCTTTGTTAGTTTTTTCCCTCTTGCTGAGATACATTCGTAGTTTTAATGTATACAATAAATTAAGTCTGATTTTGTTGCCTACAAATCAATTATTGTTTTATTACACATATTTTTGTATTCTAGTTTCACTACAAACTCTTAAAACGAGTCAAGGACATTTTGTTGGAATCTTCAGTAGTTAGAATGAGACACTGAATGACAGAAATGACTTAAACCATCGGATATTTAAGCCATTACTATAAGTAATGAGTACAATATGCATACGTAGAAGTTGTAAATTCCTATTACCGTAGGCATAAGTGTTGATGTCCAGTAGTTTGAAAAATTTATTTGCTTACAATCTAAATGGATGGCTGTGACTAGTTTCCATTCATCATTTCCCATTTTTCATAATGTTTGAATTTCAAACAAATCTGATTCAAGATCAGTAGCCTATGGCAATTTTACTGAGGTGAGGGGAGATGAAAATAGAAAGATGAAAAATTGGACTGACATGGTTGTATGGAATGTTAGTATAATGTACAAGCTGCTGAAGTCTCTGCTGGATTTCATAACCAGCCCACAGAAAAAAACATGAAGTAGAAGACATGCAACATCAATTCACTGGATCATTATTCAACATTAATTTATAATCTATTCAAATGCCTACATTAAATAATTTCACATCAGTATAATTTTTAGTATTTGTGAAACCAATCTGTGTCAAGGTAGACATAAAATAAAAATGCGTACCATTCCTGAGTTATTAGATTAAAGTGAAGAGTTGCATCTGAAAAAGAGAATTGTGAGTCCATAAAACAATAGTACTTGAGTAATGTATTAAGGGGAAAATCATTTGTCTCATAACTTTGAGGTTATGAAAAGTATAGTTGAGCAATTTAGGGAACAAGAGAATATAATCATTTATTGTTTCATTCACTCATTGTTCATGGGTGGCCTGAGGAATGGCAAGAGTTGCAGACAATCTAATTGAGTAGTGAAATGAGCTGAAACTGTTCTTGCCACATTGACAATGATAGTGCTGCTTTCCAAGCTGAGACATCATAGAGAAGATCCTACTGATAAGAGGGCTGTGGTCTGGAAAAAAATGAATTAATTACTGAAAAGGAAGTGATGATTTGAGTATTGTGCATTTTAACAGGGCCAGCATTATGGCCCAGCATTATACCAGCTGTGTCGTATGGGTGTGTTACATAATCTCACTGTTCACTTATTTCTTCTTCGAGTAAGACTATGGATACCAGCAAAAGCAGAAAGTTACTATAATTATTAAAAATAATAGAGCGAAATATTCAGATTTGTATTAGCTACATAAAAAGCATTCAGTGAATTTTACACATTTTGTTATTAGATGTCTTAGTCACTTCTTTTTTTTTTTCTTATTGAGTTTATTGGTACTTTTTAGGTATACCGTACACTTTCCTTGTTGCTAGACGCAATACCTAAAACCCACAACTTTAGAAAGCGGAGGTTTATATCAGCCTGTGGTTCAGTCCATGGTTGGCTGACTATAGGACCAAAGTGGCATGGAGGACGGTGGTGATGGAGGAAAGGGGTTCATCAGTAGCAGCCTGGAAGCAGAGAGTACAGGAGAGGAAGAAGGGAGACACAACTTTTGAGGTCATGCTCCCAGTGACCCACCTCTTCCAACCAGGATCTCCCTCTGTCCAGATGTGAGCTATGAGCAGTGTCTCCATGACCTACTCATCTTCCAAACACAGCAGGATTTAGTGGACCTTTTAGATATGAACTAGAACATTAGGTACTTGTGAAATATGCAATAGGAGAATGGATATATAATCTTCACGTGAACACTGTTTTGGCTTGGAGAAAGAGTCAGGAATTATCAGAATAATTTTGCACTATGATGGAATAATAAAAGAAGAGTATATAAAGTAACACTGCTTTATATACTGAACAACATTGTGAAAGACACCAAGTATTAAAAGTTCTGAAGCAAAATGAAAACTTACAAGACTACTGAAAATAACCAATTCAGTTTTGAGAATAGGCAATAGCAAGATCAAAAAGAATATATTTCAAAAGTAGAATCCTAGATTTATTGGAGGAAGATAGCTATAAGAAAAACAAAGTAAACTTAAGATACTTTACGAGCATATAAATGGTGATATCATTTTGCAGATTTGAGGACAGATGAGATTTTAGTTGAAAATAGTCGATCCTTGATTGCAAGCACTCAGCCTTCTGTTCTGGCTGCAGGTCTAAAGACTGGGTCACCTCCATATTTGTAAGCAGATAAAGAAATACCTTATAGCTGAAGAAATTATAAATAAATTGGCGTGAAGGTAACAGGAAAACAGAGAGCATGGAAGCATCTGAAGGAGGAAGAGTTAAAGGCTGGGGAACATCGATGACAATGCGGTAGTCGTGTCCGGCATCCGAGGTAACCAGGTGGGACCAGAGCCAAGGCAGGGAGGCTCCATTCCATATTCAGAGTGTTCAGAGCAACCCCCAGTTTATTTACGTAGCCACTCTTCCGCTTCACATCCAGGATAACTTAGTCTGGACAGATGGAACGTGGAAGGCGGACTTGAAACATACTGCCTCACGTTACATCGCACAAGTAAGTCCCGGATTTTTTCATCACATTCCTCATCGCTCCGTTCCGTAAGTGCTCTGAGCTTCACTGAAGGGAGTCACGGGGTCAAGTTCTAAAAATACTTGGAAGTTGAGATTTTTAAATAAGCTGTACTATATCTGAATACAAATGAAATTAGCAGTCAGAATTTACAGGGAAAATATGAAATCAGTTAACATGTTCTTTAAATACTTTTATTAATTTAGGAAAGAAAATAATAAACGTGAAAAGATAAAATCAAAGACAGTTTAGGAACAAAAGAAAACGTGTTTCCTTGACTTACAGGGGTTTATTATTTAGTCTATCAAATACATGTTAATTTTCATTCCTCTCTTTGTGATAAGAACATTTTCCAACTTCATCGAAGATCTCTACATTTTCCTAAACATTCTGGGGTTTGGTAGATTAATTAAAAAGCAATGAAATAAAAATAGAACTCACAAGTGTAATTTGTGTTATCTTACTTGTCAATGAAAGCAGGTTAAAATACATAATTTAATCTTGAAATATTTGAAACAAAACTTTCTTTATATTAATATTCCTAGAATGTATTTGGAAATTAAGTTCCTACATTTTAGCAATATGGACTATTTCAGTGATATTATGTATAATCTAGTGCATACATATGTGTCTGTGTATGTGCATGTGTGTGATTCAAAATGATAAAATTCCCTTGGTTAAGGACAAAAAGCGAATCAAACAAACACAACACTAGAAGACGTAATGTAGCCTGCTATACTGTTCATTTGAAAGGATCAAGATGTTTATGGGTGTAGCAACCTTCTTGAGTCATGTATTCTCCTTAGTCTAAGCAGGTTATGTCTTCAGATTTTAGTTTCCTTGTGCATAAAATATGATGACACTTTATTATGTCATAATTTTGGTGTTACATAGGTCAATAAAGGCCACTTGTAAGCATAAAATTTAGCAAGAGTCCTGTTTATAACTGAGTCTTATACAGCATGAATGATGATTTATCTACTGATTATCACTGAAGTATATGTTCATATGAATCTAAAACCACAACATGAACATCTACTAAGCTGCCATCATGACTTTCCTCAAAATAGCCTGCTCTGTACCCCCCAGGCTGTAGTATTATCTTGCTTCTCTTCTTTTAATCAGCCCAAGCTCACTCTGTAGGGCTACTTTCTTCCTTACTCTTCACTTTACTTTTTCAAATAAAGTTAAAAAAAAAAAAACTACAAAACAGATTTTTTTGGGGGGGGCAGTTGAGACAGAGTGTTACGCTGTAGTTGAGTCCGACCTGGAGCTAACTATGTAGCCCAGGCTGGTCTTGAACTCCCAGCAATCCTCCTGCCTCAGCCTCCCGAGTGCTGGGATTACAGGTGTGCGCCACCACGCCTGGCCAAAACAGATTTTCAGTTAGAATATAGCTGTGTCTTACTGTTTCATTTTTTCTATATTCTTCAATACTTAGATTTTTATTTCAAGATTTTTGAGAAAATATGATAAAGATTGTGAACTGATTCGGAATCAAGAAACATCTCTGGCTATATATTTATTATCTAATATCTATGCATTCTATTACTCCTGATAAATTTGCTGTCTTCAATTTAAAAATTGACCAGTATTATTCCAATGCTTTACTTTTTCTTATCTATTGCTTTCATTTTCACCAGTTTTTTGAAATTTCCAGAAATAAAAAAAATAAAGTTTGTGTTTATGATATTTGAAGAAACATTGTTGATTCAAGAGGTTAGCCCTATTTATTTTCCCCTTTGAGCCCTCAGCCAATTTTCTGCAAAACTGATTTTAGTCTATTTCCTGGTATAACGTGACATTGTTGATCATGCAGTTTTTCAATTACACATCCTGAGGCTCTCTGTTCCACTGTTCTCACCTCATTTATCATACGTGTTTAAAATTTTAGAGATAATTATTAATCAAAACACAGTTCTTTTGCTTTCATACAAAGAAGCAAGATGAATCGAGGTGGCTGTTATTTTTCTCAAACAGAAGTATGAGAAAATGAGCAGCTCTTTGTTCCCTACTACTCTAACATAAATACCTCAGCTCTAATTCCTACTATACTGAGTGGCCACAACTGTTCCTCCGTGAAATAAAACATGTCAGCTCTCCAGGTTCCTACTTTGCTACGTTAGAAAGAATCACATTTATGATATGCAAGTTCATGACACCGATTTTCAAACACTATTCTGTATGCTGAAGTACTAATCTAGTAGGTTTCTACTCTCTATTTATTGCATTATAAGATTGCAGTATAACATCAAGATCTAGATGATTTTAGAGAGAGAGAATTTATTTCAATCCTTCCATCCACCAATAGCTAAATTGTTCCCAAATATTCTATACTGCATTGGGGGGACAAGGGAGGATGCAGGGGGAAGGGAAGGAAGGGAAAAAGAAAGAGAGAGCAGAAGAAATAAATGGAAATGAAACTTTTGTTAATACGGAGAGGAAGGAGGGTAGAAGAAAGGTCAGAGGAATGGTAAGAAAGAAGAATCAAGCTGTAGTATGTACAGATACAAATTCCCTATGATAAATGTAATCATTATGTATATCTAAACTGTATCAATAAAACCAATTTTAAAATTATACTGCAATTTGTCAATCAGCCCTCTGTTACAGACTACTTATTATTCTCAAATGTTAGTACAATTCAAAATCTCAGCAAACATCATTTATTCTCCTGCAATAGGGTCAGTATCCGTTGTACTGTACAGGAACTAGGAGCAACAGCCTGGATCTCTCTACATCCTCTGACTCACATAGGTGCCTTCTTTATGTGCTGATACCTCATACATGTTCACTCTTTTCTGTACCTTCAGCCAAGTACAATCTTTTTTCCGCTGGCTAAACCATACTGAACTGTTTCTTTCCTGACCCTCTCTAAAACTTATTTGAAATGCAGAGCCAATTATGAAATCGCCGGTACTTTTAATACATAAATAGCCACATCACGACTGCTTTACCTGACGCTTATTAATCAGTCTTATTCCTCTGTTGGTTCCAGGAGAACTGGCTTTCCTTCAGCTCTTTCCACTTGCTTTGTTACTCCCTAAGAATAATACAGAAGATAAGTCATCAATTTAACACTATTAAAATCAATTAAATTATATCATCATCAATGTATCAGTTGCATTTCAATCAGACAAATAAAACAAATAGGAGTGATACAAATAGACCATCACCGGAATTCAACCTACTGGGAATATGATCCCAAAGAGAGCAGTGGCAAGTTAGAATTTGTGAGAATAATTTAGAATACAGGAGCAAAACTGGAAAGTTAGTCTAGACGTGTTCATGAGATATGTGACCAGCGAAAACGCTCATATGTACACTGGGGCACGAATCTGTACACTGGACCACGACTAAGATTTGGAGACTTGGTACAAGAGTGTAGGACAAGAGGTAAAGGAGCTGCAACTTGGTCTCTTTTTTTAGGTCTATGAAATGTTGATGCAAGCTCAACAGAGTGTGTGAATGGTGACAGCACGTCAGCTTCCTTTTGTAGTGGTAAGACAGCTATTGGAGCCAGTCATGAAGGCACTCTCCTGAAACCCCAACAGTCTGCAGGACTGATGCAGACAGATTATGAGTTCAAGGTCAGCCTGGACACCTTAAAGAAATTCTTAGAATAGAAGAAAAAAAGGGAACGGAGTGCAGTTCAGTGAGAAAGCCTGCATTTTATTCCCCAACACTGGACAAAAGAAAAGACAGCTGTTGCTTCACTGCACCTTGGAAATCTTCCCAAACTTATGGGTTAGGTCAATTTTAGCTCAGAACTATACATGACAGGGAGTTCAGGAGATAAGAGATAAGCTGAGCTAAATCGACACAGTTCAAAGTTTCCATAATCTACTTTTTGTCATCTTGCCACTCATATCCACTTTAGAAAACTATAAGGAACTTCCAAATAACTACAACAGCAAAAGTATGTAATATTATAATTTTTAATCCATCTGCAATAATAAAACTGCCAGAAACATCACTGCAAATACACTAATATTATCCCCCCAAATTATAAAAACCAATCTGGGGCTTTAGCTCAGTAGCGCTGCATTTGCCTTGCAAGCACAAGGCCTTGAGTTCAATCCCTAGTTAAAATAAATAAATAAATAAAACTCCCTACCCATTCTGGTGTAATGTTAATTCCTCTTCAACCTACATCAAAGTCTTTGTTATTTTTAAATTAAAATATAGAGATACTTGGTCCACTTCTACTAACATTTATTTTTGATAGGAGAAGAGTGAGTGGGAAGAAATAATTATTACACTTACTCAAATATTTCACATCAATAAAAGGAGGAAAAATAAATATGGTTTTTGTTTTTGCCACTGTCTTGCCTTTGTGGTGATAGTTGTTATATAGAAATATCTCTACTGTGCACTCCTAACTTTTCCTCAGCTATCACCTTGGCTGGTGTTTCGTTTTGTTTTGTTTTGTTTTGTTGTCTTATGGAGAGAACAAAACTTCATTCATGAAAATTCTGGTTCATTAAAGGCCTGACTAAATTTGGTTTTTGTAGATTTAAAGTGACATTAGTTATAGGATATGGGACTAGTAAGAAATAACACTTCAAGGAATCATCTACCTTCCAAACATAATCTCTCTCACATCATGGTGGAGTGTCAACCTCGCTCCCAAGGTTGTTTCACTAACCCTTATCTTATTCACCCCCAATACTAGGAAACCTTCCTTCTTTGTTGATTCTTTAGTATGAGAAGCTGGAGTGTCCAGGTGACACCCTCAAATTCTCATTTGTTGGAACCATTGTGTCCCCTTTGGTGAAAATGTTCTCCCATAAAAATTAATATCTACATGTCCCAAAGCCTAGAGTTCTAGGAACTTGAAGAAGGAAAAGAGAAATTTCACTAATGAATCACCAGGGTATTAACAACCTTAATGTACAGACCAATGAATCTCGGAGAGAAGAGAGACTCCTTTTGTAGTGACGAGGGATGTAGAGTGTATGCTACACACTGAAGTGTATCACTTCCAGTCTGGGAGGTATTTGCTACCCTACTGGCAATATAATTGAATCACCAAGCAGCTAATCCATCATGCTGTCAGGCTTGTTGCTTCGGTTTTGTGGTGTCAATGAAAAGAATAGTGAAGTAAATAAACATGAGCCCATGGTCTAACTTTGTTATAAAAATAAGTTCTTTCTTCAGAAGGAATGCTGTGCTGAGTATTCACAATGATATCAAGATGTTTAATAAGTTCAAGATTTTTAAATTTTAAGTTCATCATCTATAAATTTAAAAAGATTTGACCAAAGCATTTGGTCACATTTTTTTGTTTTTTAGATAGAAAAGTCATCACACAGAGTAAGTATCTCTTCCAGAGAGAACAAAGCACTACCTATCCATATCGGAAATTATTCACTGTAGTGATCATACTTGCGGGAAAATGATTAATATCCCCAGAAAATGGAACAATATTATAATTTAGCTTTGAATTCTGCCATGATAGTTGGTCATCTGGCTATAATTAAGATAGATAAAGCTTTGTGTCAAAGCCCATGTTAGTGAACCCAGTATAATATCTATCCCTGCCGTATCATTAAGTCCATATTCCTACTGGACTCGAACAGGAGTGTCTTGGAGAAAGTCTGATTTATCTCCATAGAATTGATCATTATTTCACACAGTTACTGAGTTTGTCCTCTGTTAAGATGATCTTTTTTCAGATATGGAATCCAAATATCTTCATATTGTATGCTCATTCAGAGAGGAAGTGTAGCTATGCAGTTATTCCCTGGAATGCTTTACCATCAATTGTCTATTATTGTTCCATGTCCCGATCATCTAACCAAATAATTTGCCACTTGTCCCAAATCAGTTTAAATAATTACATCTGGTCCTTTTTCCTCCTTGGTAAAATGAATATCCAGGTGCTCTGCTCAAAATTCTGGTCAGATGAATGATTTTCTTTCATTTTCCTTAGGGGATTTTCCAGTATTAAGTTATAATTCTGTAGTTCTCCATTTCCAAGTAATGCCAAAATGTTATGTAAAATCATTTCTAAATGTGCTAGAATAGTTTCTCAGCCTAATGGGCATAGGAAGTCATATTGATGATTACAAAAGATGAGCCTGTGCAGTAGGCTAAGGAGCAACAACACCTGACATGTGTGAATACACCTTATTTCAGCCTTCAGAACTAGGTGGATATTATGCTTTCACTTATTATTAAAGTAGCACTGTCCTCATATATGTTATTGGTTATGATTAGCCACACAGCAAGCTGTTTGTAACAATGCTAGTGTGATAAATTTGCTTCCTGTGGTCAAGCATTCGTGTCAAAGCTTCTTAAAATTAGAATAGCTATTTTTAGAGGGTGATATAATTTTTTAAGAAATTCTGCCATAAAGTCTTGAGGATTGTACTACAATTTCTATAGAGGTTTGCATAATGCCTACTCTATATAGCATCGCTGATTGGCACAGACCCATCCAGTGAAAGTGGATCTGTTAAGTCACACTGCACATGAGTCAGAACAATTTGCAAGCAACCTAGACCTCTGAAGTTGAGTGTATTTGTTTGGGCCACTCTTGATACTTACAGTTCCTCAGTTTCCATGGGGTAAGAGATAAGTTAGCAAGCTCAAATGATATATTTGTCACAGATGCAAAAATCTTACGAAGTATAAATGTAAATATAAGTAAATATTATGTCTGATTCTGAACTCTGAAGGGAAAGATCCAGCAACTCATCTTTACCTTGCAAATGAAATTTCAAGTAGTCATAAACCACTAAATCACCAGAAAGCAAGATTAAACTAGACTGACAAGAATAAATGAACTCATGTGGCTGACAAATAAAAAGAGTGCTGCTGGTTGAAATAAGAGCAATAATCTTGACTCAGAACATGTAGAGATTTACAAGTCAGGATAAATAACCAACTCTCATTATCTAAGTTTAGTGGGAAGACAATTATTTTTGCATGAGAATAGCTTAATATTAACTCATTTTTAACTGTCCACTCTTCTATGAGTAGAACAAACCCTGTAATGCCTACCAAGTATGCAGACAGAAACACTGATCAGAAAACCACAGTAGTAGTTGATATAAAGGTGACAGTGACTCTGAGGGGACTTCATTCTTAGATGTGGGAAGAAGTGGCAATATGATATTCTGGAAGTAGAAAAATAGGGCTCACTGATAAACTAAATTTACAGATATTACAGAAAAAAAACCCAAAAAATTGAGAAACTTCACTAGCTTTGATCGTGAACAGCCATGTGAAATGATTTACTGAGATGAATAACAGTTTTGACAAGGAGTTAGAGGGGTGGAAAATCATGATTTGTTCTGACGGTGTTACATATGAGATTACTACCTATCACACACATGGAAGTATTGATTAGTTTGAACCATATGAAATACTCTTTTATAAGACAAAAGCAGCAACATCAATGTCATGATAATTTTGTGTAGTTATATACAGTATATGAGTCTGGAGTTCAAAGAAAGGCTCAGATTTACAAAGAAATTTTGGCACTATTGGCACATTGATGTTATTTAAATCCATGATGAGCTCACATATGAGCTCATATATGACTAATATGTAAGTAAAAAAATTAGCTCAGAAGTGAGCTAAGAACACAATACACAACGGCCTATTTAAACAAACTGGATAGACACCACTTTGAGCATCATGAACACGGGAAACAGCCTTGTTAACATTGGTAAATACCAGACTAGAAACTTGCCTGCATTGGTTTGAGTAATTTCTAACTTTTCTTGAATATCTGTAATTCTCTCCAAATATTCAATATCTGGGGAGGAAAATTCGATTCATCAAACTAATCTCACATGTGTATGTCTTCTATGTACAGTCATAGATGTGTTTACTATCAGCAACCTAATATAGTCCTGTCTGGATAGATTTCAGTAACATTTAGACCCTAACACAGAGCCCAGAATAATGTGGGAGAGTGTATTTTCTCCCCCCAAATATTTTAGGTGTAATTCAATTTCTATACATTGCTTTCAGCTGCATTCTGCTTATGTAGGAGAAGACTTTCCAAATATTTGATTATTTCCAACATGT